TCTGCAACAAAAAAGGGGCCGCCCTTTGAATGAAAATTCCCACATTAATTGACAGCAAAAGATCAAAAAGTGTGTGTGTAAGGGGGGAGGGGTGCTGTTTACTATGGACATGTTTATAAAGTACGTTTTTATGCGCGATGAATTACAAGCACCAAGGTTTTTGTGTATAACTCTCCGTGGTCTGTAAACATTTTCCCCCGGAGATCTATACAGTTTTATACATGTAGAGTAGTTGTGAACACGTTCATCTGAAGCTGTTGAATTCAATTGATTTTTTTTTTATTTCAAAGTACTATACATAAAAAAGTATCTTCTTTTTTTTTTTTATAACTAACTGCTGTTTTCAGCGATTTTCAATTTTAATTTTAATCCATGTGATACCGTTTGCTCATTTTGCACAACGAAGTCTTTCTGACTCAAAAATCTTTTTACTCTTTTATCTTTCGTTTGGCTGAAATATCCTCAAAATAGTTTTCAAACATATCGATTCTTACAAGAACAAGAAAGACATATAGAGAGGCCATATGCGTTTTCACAAACCATGAAACTGAAGGGAGCTCAAACCCAGGAAATATAAATACATCTAGAAGGGTTCAATGACGAGCAAATAATGACAGCAACCAAAAAAATTCTCATGAGAAATTTTGTATACTTTGATTATTGATACTATTTAAAATGTGTGGCAGGAGGAGGGGGGGGGGTGCCGCCTTTGACTCTGCTAGTGGAAGCTAATTATAAGGTTAACTCAATTTTACATCTAAATATATTTAAAATTCATGAGCTTCTTTGCCCTCTGCATCCCCACCAGGGCTTCGCCCTAGACCCACTTTTGGTCTCAAAGAGGTCCCAGACCCCCCTCCCCCAAGACAGAAATTCCTAGGTCCGTCCTTAGTTGTGTAAAAACTCCTGGCACTTACAAATTCATGAAATCCAGTGGCGGATCCAGGAATTTCATAACGGGGAGGGGGGGGCGCAGTAGAAGGCAGGGGGTCTGGGGGCTGGATTGAAGCCCCCCCCCCCCCAGTTGGTCTAGGGCAAAGCCCTGGTGGGGGTATGGGGGAAGCCCTCGGAAGCTGACGAATTCTTACAAATAAGAAATGTTTTTTCCTTGATTTTAGGATAATGGACATATAAGTTCTACATACAAAAAATTCAAACGGGGGGGGGGGGGGCTGCGCCCGGCGCGCCGGCCCTGGATCCGCCTTTGAAATCTTAATATTTTCAGACTCACTTAATGGTAACCTAACAACAAAACTTTATGATAAACGTGATGACTGCAAACTTTATTTCTATTGTCAACTTCCCTTATAAACGTATGTAGCAATATAGCATTATCACCTGCATATTGAGTTTATGTCTGTCTCCCAGGTGATTCCTTCCAGCATGCTCTACCTAGGCAGGGATAGACATTAACTTTCAGATTTACTTGCCCTTCGGGCAAGTGATCTCAAACTTTGACTTGTCCGAACGCAAAACTTGGTTGCCCAAAATAAGGAAAGAACTTCAGAAGAAATTTTTTTATTACTGTAAATATTATGACGAAAAAATGTGACCAAATACACTACCGTCAATTTCGTAAGGTGAGGTACCTGAAAAAATTTCGATGCTGCGTTTGTACATAAATGTATACCACTGTCCTTGTAAATTTAACCTGTTAGCACATACTGCCATATAGCAATAACCCTCCGTTTTAATAAAATTCATATTTGTAAAAATTATTTTCGGTAGGATTCTTTTGTGAATCGTGATTTTCTGAGATAACTGTGAAACAACGCTGAAGAAAGATAGTTGCTACGTAACACACATCGATCTTTACCTTGATCAGGATACATCGTGTTAAACTGTACTTATATTCTGTAAGTGAATAAATAATCTAATTTCCAAATAAGAAGTTAACAAAAATGTTAGACGAACAGCATATTTACCAGGGGAAAAGAACGGAATAACGAATCCGATTTTCAAATGAAAGGTATAATCCAGAAATGCTGACAAGGAATTCCGAATACAAAAACAATGTCAGTCAGGTACCTGGCGGAAATCAAGTCTTCAATTTATTGTCTTTTATATAAATTAATGTAAACTAAATAAATATGTACATTTCTATGAGGAAAAAATCACTTGCCCGATCGGACAAGTACGTCGCAAGATTCACTTGCCCGAACTGAGAATTTACTTGTCCCGGGCAATCGGACAACCGTTAATGTCGATCCCTGCTAGGAACAATTTGTAAAACAGGGCAAGCTATTGACAAATAGAAAGACATAATAAGAAACAGAAGAATATCAATAGGTCTTTCCACCTTTCTGTGGAAAGACCTGATAACTAGTAAACTAATTGATGAAACAAGAATATCAAAAGTCTCGATTAAAGTCAACATTTTTGCAAATTCTATGGTCGATACAATGACCTTGTCAGCAAATACAAATCTATCGCAAGTTGAATTTTGACTGACGATTTTTTATACAATTTTCTCACTGGATTCTTTAGGATTTTTCTGTTTTTCCTGATCATGACAAGGAGCACACAGCGCACAGGGAATGGTTACTTTTCCATGGCACCTGATCCCACCTCTGCTGTTTTTAGAGGCGCAATGTTGGGCTAATATATCGTAATATATATTTGTGTATTCGTAGGGCTAACTATCAATTCCCCAGACTCTCGTTCTCGAGACTTTGCACGTTTCTGGGGAAAGCGAGACTACATCAATTATATACTAGTTCAACATAATCAATCCCTGTATTTTTTACTATTTCCATGATTACAACACATTAAATTTAATCAATCTTGGTAAATCAACTTGTTCCTGGTAGAAATTCAATGTTTAATACTTTTCAGTTTACTTTCAATAAATTATCTTTTTTCACAATCGACAGAGGGAAAATGAAGATAGATCAGTGTTTTTTTCAAGTACATGTATATTCCACATCACTATAATCAAGCCCAAACTCCTCTAAAAATCCATCATATCACATTTGAATGATCACCCACTCCTTTTTCAATTCCTGCATGTCCGTGTGATTGCTGTCTCTCACACATGTAAATAATTAAGTCCCTTTACGGGACTCTTTTAAATGGTCTTATGGCATATAGGATTTTTTCCTCTCCATCAGTTCCTCTATTATGTTAAAAATACCATATCGCTATTTAAATCTCTTCAAAAATGAATTCCTTAATGATAACTTAAACAGACTTCTAGTACATGTAAAAATACATGCGGATTGGTTGAAATAATTTTTTTAATAACTTGTTAGATCTACACCTTTTCATTATAAGTAAGTTTATACATAGCATAAGATTCTATAAATCACGCATATACATTAAAAGCCTTAAACATTCCATTTTCTCTTTCTGGGTCAACGATGGCCCAATGAAATGCTCCGAACTTACATGCACATCGTTCTTCAGTTCTAGCATGACTGTTGCATGGGCCAACATTGGACAAAACAAAAACAAACAAAATAAATAAAAATGAATAACAAACAAACAAACAAACAAACAAGCAAACAAAGAAATACAAGTGCTAACACTGGACCAACGTTGGTTCAATGTACTGTTCGTTAACAGTGGTTAAGGGTCCACCACAAACAACGGTTGGTGTAACCTCCCCCCCCCCCCCCCCCCCCGTTCTGAGATTTTTTTTTGACACGGTAACTTAGCAAATATACATGAATTCCTAGCCTGTCATACCAATACTTCGTTATTTGACATCATTTTCCTTTTTTGTTAGCTTTAGAGATTGCCCCTATACGGTATATAAAAATTCCATCCACAGACACCGGTTTCTCAGAAAAGGGGGGGGGGGTACAGCAACCGTTCGTCAGGTGCTTTTGTTCTATCAGGGTGCTTGTATTTGTTCATTTGCATTCATAATGACCTGTTATTTAATTTAATAATAAAAAGAGTTTAATACCCAATTCTTCTTTTCTGAAATTCTTTGTTCAAAGAATAAACACGGCGGCTCTATGTTTAGTGTTTGCAATTAGTCACACCCGCTTCTTTCAAAATGAAAGTAACCAAGGTATTTTTTTTTTATATTTTAGTCACATTCCTATCGAATCCAGTTGTTTTTTTTAAGTGTTTTTATTTGTAGCATGTTTTCATGTATTTTATGTTAATTACCTGCATTTAATAGTTTGTTGAGTTTTGATGCTTGTTTTATTTTATTTACCATACATAATCGGCATAATTGGGTAAATTGCTGCACCATAGGGCATAGTTATTTCGTTCACAGACAATTTCACTCCGAATCAAACGGACAAAAAACGTGAATTTATCCAGAAGAAATCAGATAATATTTTCTGAACTTAATCTAAATTATCAGTAGCCTATTACTATTTATTTTTAGTGTTATTTGTGAATGTGTAAAGCTGAAATACAGTTTAGATACAAACAGAATTCTCTTGGAATAGTGCGTACAGAAATTTAGATCACTTTTACATGTGCCTTTTGGCTTCATTTTTATTGTACTTTCATAGAATTGAATGATAGATGAGTTTACTATAACATTGCGTATCATATATCCTCTTACACATGTTAAAATATTCTGTGTAAGTTCATGATGCTATAAAAGATCCGGGGCTGAATGTGTTAGTGTGCGAAACACTCCACCAGCATGGGTGCTCATTTCCAAGAAATGGATCGAGGCAGCTGATTCTTGGAAATTGAAAGGATTGTCGTTTTACAATTACAATCGTGGAAGTTTAATTGAAATAAGGTCAACATATTTCAACTTCATCCTAGGCATCTTCTGACCAGACGTCAACTGTTCTGCAATTGTTGTAAGTGGTAGTTCGTATGAAAGATAAAAATTGTAGAATCTAGGTCTACACGAATAAACAAACATAACAAACCTTGTATACATTGATGACATATTGATCCAGGGGGTTTTAGTTTTTCCGAGTAATTTTACAGGATGTGCGTTTGCAAAGTGGGTGGGAACTTGTTAAAATAACATATCATGTGCTCATCTGAGCAATGAGCCATAGGCAGATATTATAATATAGGAATCCCCCTATTATCTTGACATGGTTTAGATAGTTTAGTATTAAGGGACGACACCTTTAGTCTTTCTTCATTACAGTGATATGACGATAAAGCGTGCAGTTGACACTGTGGTCTGTGACGATCAAGGTCTATGAGGGTTTGAAGCCTCAATCAATCACTAGTATAGAAACACCTCCATAGGAAACTCTATTTTATGGAACGGAAGATCTAACAAGGCATTGTTTAGAAACTGGTTCAAGTGTTATATTGAAGCATCCCAGGAAACAAATGTTTCCTGTATTTTGATATTGCATAAACGTGGTATCGAGGAATTTCCAAGCAGTTGCAGTGTTTACTGCTGTTGCATTGTTTTCATATGATAAGGACATAATTTGTAGTGATTTAGTTTTGGTGTTATTGTTTGAACTATGGAGGGTAGTTTTACTACTCTTCAATCTCCTCCTTGCTCTACTAGCATGTACAGTAATGGACAGCCAGTGTGTGAAATGTTATATAGCCAGGTCAAGGTAGAACCGGACACTCACTATCCATCTAATGGCTACAGTAGGCAGGCCATGAGACCAGACCATTTCTCAGACAGTTGCAGACAGAATCGCTATAATGGGCATAATCTTCGTATGGATTGCATGAGGCAGGACAGTTCATCTAACTTTTACTCAGATACCCAGAGCTCATGCTCCAAAATGTCCCCCCACTGTGGTGGCAGCCCCCCTGGCTATTCCTCTTATCCTGTTTATAATAACAATTCTATGCAAAGTCCTCTGTCATGTGCACTTGGAATGCAAAGACCAAGAAAGGTAGGGTGACAGCATTTTCTTTGGTGAATATAATGATTTCATATTTAGTTAATATACTTTGTAATTTACGTACACTACAGTAGACTTAATGTAAGTTTGCACTTTGAAAAAAAAAATAATGTAAATTATTTTTGTTTTTTGTTCCAACTTTTAAAAAAAAATTTTCCTATAAAATGTTGTGGTGGGTGTCAATTCATCGTTTAAGTATTTTTTTTTATAGTTAAGTGTGAGGAGATAACTGGTAGAGCATCTCTGATCAAGCAGGTGTTATCTGTATCTCTTGGGAATTGGGCAAAGGAATCAGCCTCTTAATTGCTTGTGTTGGATTAAATAGTTCTAGCATGTCTATATTTTAGACTTCATGACATGTTTTGGTTTTATCATTATAATATCATTTGTTTGACTGGGAAGAAAACTTTGTCGATAATACTGGAAATAAACTTAATACTAAATTAGGCTGTAAGGACATCTGTGTACAAGTGACGTTGATTTATTAATAACATTTGGAAATGTCACGACTGAAGGTGACACAGCTATTGAGGAGTTTCCTGTCTTGTTCTCTTTCTTCAAAGTACGCTGTTATTGTTGTAAACTTTCTTGTTTACAATTTTCTGAAAACTGATCCTTCAAACATAAATTTAAGATTTCTACAGATCTGCTTTCAAAGTATGTTTAAAACAATTAAGTTACCAGTAAATTATTTTTTTTTTTGGAGTATGAAACTTTGAAGTTAAGTAACAAAAATCAAAGTTCAAGTACATTGTAATAAGAATTATTAGTCTGTGATGTTGGTAAATATCTTGAAAATGAATGAGTTGTTTTGCTTGTTTGTTTGTCAGTAATTAAGTACTAGGTGAAAAGGATATTCTGTTTCTGGTGCCTCTTAACCCCCAAAGTAAACCCAGAGGTGACCTTATTATCAAGGTCAAAGAAGATAGGTCAAGGCCAGAACAATATAGGGCTGTGTTCAAGATCCTAGCAGATAGCCTTTGCCATAGCTGATAGGCTAGATATCTAGGTCGTATTGAACATCTGTATGAATTAACACTTGTTATGGCTAGGCTAGCTTTTCATTCAAGATCATAGCAGCTATGTAGACTCTATGATCTTAAGCAGCCCAGCTATGTAGATGCTATGCCTATTAAGCAGTATTGTGAATAAATTTGACCAGAAATTTAACATTTAAAACCTAGTATGATAGGAAGTGATACAAACTTGAAGAAATATTATTCAGATAACATCTAAAAAGGATACATGCAGTACTCATGAACCACATGCTTTTGAATACAAAATGATTTTTTGAAAATTGATGATCTAATGGTGGTTGAGTAGAATCTCCTTGTAAATTATTCAGCTACAGTTCTTTTATAGCCCTATAATTGTTAACTTATTGATGTTTGGTCCTTAAATGTAAATGAAGATAAAATCTATAGTCATTTTTACTTCACTAACTTTTGTTCGATATTTTTTCAATAAAATCTGGTGAATTGAACATTTTAAATTGGTGTGACAAAAAAATGATACCGTCAGATGTTACCTGTGATGCATTGTTTGCTCATATTGTCATCTAAACAGTGATCAGGAAAGATTCTCTTGCATAAGAAATGTTAAGTTATTGTTTCACAAGTTCAAATGAATACATGTATTTAAAAGCAAATTTACTTCAGTCATCAGATTGTAAATTTGTGTTATGTTAATTAGAAGTGTTAATTTTTTTCATTCACTCGTATACACTGTAACAAGAGGGAAGAGTAATGGGGATATTGACATATTTGTCTGATTAAGTCTGTGACTGTATAAATTACAGAAATTTATGTACTATTTAATACGTGGCCTCATTGTGTTAATGCTGTGCTGGATGACAGCTTTTTTTTTTGGTTGGAGACATTTTTTGGAAAGAAATATATGTTCTATGATATTAATTTAGAATGAGTGTTACCTGAAGCAGACATAAAGGTATAAAGGTCATACTAGCAGCTGCTAATTTTTGGCATGAGCTATTCATAATAAGAGAAGGTTTTTAACATAAATTAATTTTTAAAGCGACTTGAGCGTAGATTACTAGTGTCTGAATGTGAATTTGACAAAGCTGAAAATCTTAAAGCTCTATATGGCATTTTTAAGCTTAAAAAAAATACGAAATTGAGTATAGATATACATGATATATGTTATATATGTTAAAATTAAAATTTTCACCAATTTTGAAATTTTCTCTTTGTTCTTCCATCATGTCCATATTTGCCTATCTCTTCCTTGCTCTTCTGTCTAAATCTGTTAAATTGCTTGTGTTCGCTGATCTACTTGTTCTCATTGTTGTATTATTGAATAATGTAAATTATACTGGTAGTGTCACACGATCAAATTAAGGTGAAGTTATTCAAATCTTTATTATTTTTGTGGAGTCAGTAAATAAATTGGTTAATGTGTTAAATTTTTTATGTCTTTTGAATGCGATTGATATAATTGTGAAATTTACAGAAAAGTCCTATCTTTATATAAAGTAATAAAACAAATAAAAAGATCTTATTACTTTTAGTTATCTGAACTTATCAAAAATATGCCATGTAGCTTTAAAATTTATTTAAAATTTTTTCAAATGCAAAGGAAACACATCACATCATATACACTTTATAATTCTGCAATTATATCCTGATAGTTAATTGATCTTTCGGGTCAAAGATGTTTAAGGAGGGCCTGGGAGTAATATGGTTGACAGGCAGATTCATTCGGCAGTGGACAGGTAGCTCACTGGGAGAGCACTTGTTTAGAGTTCAGTTGGCTTGGAATCAGATTTGAATCTTAGTCTGGTCAATTGCATTTCCTCCCTGTTATCTAAGAAAGGCTCTCAGGTCATATTTGTTCAAGGAACTAGCTGTGATATTTTCATATCTGTATTAATACATGTTGACATTGTAGTGATTTTACAAATTTTTGTGATGAAAAAAATTTGTAACATTACATGTTTTATTTTAATTTTGTCATGGGAATATATACATGTATGTCTATAAATGAAGTTATCTGAGTGATCAAACGGACATGGAGAATATTCACCATGTTTACTGTCATCTTCGGTAGCCAAGGGTAACATTATTTGCTCCTCCTCTCTCTTCAAAATTTTTTGTTCACATTCTTTTGCTACACGAGGTTAGACAAGTTTTAATTGGTGGTGCCAACTCTGGCTGGAACCTTTGAAATGCATAATTCTGCATTCAACAAAAGTTGACTCAATCTGCCAAGGGTGAAAAGAGAAGAAGAGCGGATTGCTACTCTTGGCTAGCAAAGATGGTTCACTGTGTGATGTTTAATTATCTGTTAATCTTCCAAGACCAGACCTGTTTAAGTAGGTTGGACATTATACTGGTAATAGCGTGAATGATGGATGTACAATCTGATCACGATATCAAGGGAAAATTAAATTCCCTACTCTTATCCACTCTTCAGTACCCTTTACCTGGCAGGTGATTTCAAAGCAATTAGGCTAATATTTTACGCAGTACAAAATATATCTAACCAAATAACTTTAAAAGGTGATATTTAAATTCTGTGCCACTTTCATTATATTAAAATAACCATCTAGTTTTGGGAGTTTTGGCAATATACATACATTGGCACTCTCTACCAGTGGCTCTTACATTCACCTCTGTCATTGGCTAATATCACTATGACTAGTGCAATATAATAAATTTATTATAAGTCATTATAATTTTAAAAATTGTTAACACACCTGAGCTGAAAGCTCAAGTGAGCTTTTCTGATCACCCATTGTCCGTTCTCCGTCCGTCTGTTAAATGTTCACATTTTCAACTTCTTCTCAAGAACCACTGGACCAACTTTAACCAAAGTTGGAACAAAGCATCCTTGGGTGAAGGGGAGTTTAAATTATTAAAACGAAGGGCCAAGCCTCCTTACAAGGGGAGATAATCAAGAAAAGAAAAAAATAAGGTGGGATCATTAAAAAATCTTCTTCTCAACAATGCTCAAAAAGCACGGGGCCAGAAAAGCTGAAACTTATGTGAAAGCTTCCTGGGGTGAAGTAGATTCTAAATTGTTCATATCAAAGTTTTATGTTTAGGAAAAATTCTTTAAAAATCTTCCTCTCAAGAACCACAGGGCCAGAAAAATGAAACTTATATGGAAGCTTCCTGAGGTAGTGTAGTGCACTAGATTCTAAATTGTTCAAATTATAGCCCCCTGGGGAAGAGTGGGTGGCACATTAGGGAATCAAATTTTTACATTGAAATATATAGGAAAAATCTTTAAAAATTTTCTTCTCAAGAACCATGAGGCCAGAAAAGCTGAAACTTATATGGAAGCTTCCTGAAGTAGTGTAGATTCTAAATTGTCCAAATCATGACCCCAAGGGGTAGGATGGGGCCACAATAAGTATTACAAGGGGGGGGAAATCTTGTGTAGAACAACAGGGCCAAAGTTACTCAGGTGAGTATTGTGGCCCATGGTCCTCTTGTTTTAATACTTGTCTTGTAAGGTAGCTAGAATATACTCAGCGTGTGTAGAGCTATTGCTTTAACTTGGAAGAATCCTTTGAATATCATTTTTTTAATCTTTCAAAAAATCTTGACATGAGACCACCATTTGCAGAGGTGTATGAGAGGGAAACAAAATTTCTGTGTAGGAGATAGATACATTGGAAGACACGGTAATTTGCAGAATAGGTTAATCAAAACTGTACCCAAAATAGTTGTGCAACTTCACATACATATAGTATGTATGAGCTGGTAAACACTTTCAGGTACATGCATACACAGATTTAGAGGGGGGGTCGGGGAGGGGGGTTCCGGAACCCCTGGAATTTGCAGGGTTATTAAAGGTACAGGTAACTCTTGATACCTCGAAGTCCGCGGGACCGAGGAAAAACTTCGAGAGATCAAGAGTTCGAGAGATCAAGAGTCCGGAATTTTCCCAGTTTGTTGACAAGTTTTAAAATTAGTCTTACCGGATGTAATGATTTTCACGCAGTGCTAACCTTTTACACGTGGTTT